ATCTCGTGAACTATAGGCCGATATCCTTCTTATCTGGATTCTCAAAAGTTCTAGAAAAGCTTTTTAATGATAAACTCAAAAATTTTCTCAATTCAAAAAACATTGACAGAGGCCCAAAATGGATTCAGAAATGGTAGATCTACACACAGCTATCTTCACCTTTCTAAATGCTTCACCTTTCTAACTTGTTGCTCTAGATCAGAAAGATATCCCCATCTGGATTTATCAAAAGCTTATTGACCATCATATACTGTTATCCAGATTTGAAACTTTGGGAATTAGAGGCATTGCACATCAATGGGCTAAATCTTTCCTTTCAAATCGTTGTCAAGAAGTCACAATGAAGCATGTTAGAGATAAAAAGATTTTACTCATTTTTTCCCAACCTATAACGATAAATTATGGAGTGACACAAGGATCAAACCTAAGCCTCATACTATTTCTATCATACATCAATGACATGTCCCTAACCCTACAAAAGAGCAAAACGGACATATTTGAAGATGACACAAACATTATTATTAAAACAAATACCCAACATACTCTACAAAAAGAAGCAAAAACAGCCCAAGAGACACTAGTAAAATGGTTCCAGGAAAATAAACTCATCATAAACACTGGTAAAACTGTCTCCCTAAACTTTCGGAACCCGCTCTAAAGAAAAGGCTTCAGCACAATTGATAAAAAACATGCCTGTAAAAATAGCCCCAAAACAACTTTCCTTGGATTAACTATTCAAGATGATCTAAAATGGAACTCCTATATCACAGAACTAAACAAGCTTACCAAGTCATGTTATGCTGTATGCATCCTTAAGTCAAATTCTAACTTAGATACACTGCGAATGGTGTACTTTGCAAATGTTCACTCGCACCTAAAATACGGAATAATATTCTGGGGAAATTCCCCAGAAAGTATCCACACTTTCATCATCCAAAAACGAATATTGAGAACAATGAGTAACACTCACAAACATGAGTCCTGCAAACCTCTGTTTAAAAAATTGCAAACACTACCACTTCCATGCATGCATTTATTTGAAATATTAATCTTCACGAAGAAGACACTTATGGGAAACAAGGACACTGTTACTCCAAACACAGACGTTCAGAACTATGATACCAGACAGAAAGAAATCTGCATGTTCCACGCAGTAAAACTTCACTCTTTCAAAAAACTACCCGTATAGAAGCTACACTCTATAACTAGCTAACACTCTATAACAAACTCCCTAGCGAATTTAAAAGCTTAAACTCGACACACATTCAAAAATAAACTGGAAGCTTTCCTGTTAAACCATACATTCTAATATAAAATAGTACAAATAATTTTTTGCATTTTCTGTTGCATGTTATGAAACCCTCCAAAACTGGTTGTTGGATATAAAGGACGGACCCAGCCCAGACACGAATATATGAAGACTTTCCCCTTTTTTTTCCTTTTTTAAAATTATTATTGATTTTTAACTTCAGCCTTCATACACTACCGTCTATAAAATTAATTAGCATTCCATGATATTGTATTTAGTACGAGAACTGAATTGAATTTCAATTTGTCTTGTATTTAATTTTTAGAATTATGTTAAGATGCATATATATGTCACATCAATACCCCATACACCATGTATGACAAGTCAGGATATGTATATAATCATACAATGCACATTAAGATATTTCTAAAAATTAAATAAAGATATAAATTAAAATTCAATTCAATTCTCGTACTAAATATATCATGGAATGCTAACTAATTTTATGCGGAGCAGCTGACTGATATGCCTTCTTTCTGAACCAGACGTCGAGGTGAGAGGTCCAGTGCGGTCAGGCAGAGCGGTAGTAATTAGAGATGGCAGTTTTCTTTTGTACGGGACGTCGAAGAGTTCGGACGTGCGTAGAGAGCTAGATGTGAGGATTGTGAGACGCAATTTTGCAGAAAGTACGGTGTGAAGAAATTGTTCAGGCGAAAGAATAGTTCGATAGCGGAAGATTCATCCTTCCGAACTTTGATCAACTAGGCGAAGTGCAATATTGCATAAAGACCGTGGAAAGTAGTAGAATGGCTAATACGAGGCGGAATGGGAGAGCGCGAGCGAGAACTGTGAGCTATTGAGAGGCGTCAGTAGAACCGTGCAGTTAGCTACACGATTATGGGTTGTAAAGAACGCCAGAAAACCGATACGCCGTTAGCAAACACGCGTGAGAACAGTGAAATACGCGTCGGCATGCCGCATAGGAAGAGCGCGAAGAAAGAAGCAGAGGCGAGGGTTCCGGGGCGGGGCGTGGTCAAGAGACGAAATAAGTTTGGACGTGGATCTGGTGGCAGGAGAAAGGGAAGACAGCGTTTCTAGCGACATCGCGGACGGCTGGTCTGCGAGGAAGCGAAGCTACGATGTAGCCGGAATTGGGCCAAGGTCATACGACGGCAACGCAGAACGGTTTGTAAGCTGCGCATTGAGCGCCTGTCAAAGGTAACAGAAATTTTGTAAAACGATTGGGAGCCGACAGAGACTTGAACGATAGCGCAGCAGCAGAAAGGCTGTGATTGTAAATTTGCTTATTCGCGTAAAATCTAGATAACAACAAAACAACTGAAAGAACCTTGTACGCCGGTAATACAGTTTATTCTAATGTTACGAGAAAAACTGTGTTGTTCTTTCTTCCTCAATTTTGTGCAATCCTGACGAGGAGAATTGAACTGCAAATAATTGTAGTAAGTAAGCCTTTCAATAACGTGTTCTACCTAAGATTCTGTGTGGAATAGGGATATAATTTTGTCGTACTCCTCAGTCAAGAGAGTTAACATTGTTGTTGCTGTCAAAGGTATATATATATATATATATATATATATATATATATATATATATATGTGTGTGTGTGTGTGTGTGTGTGTGTGTGTGTGTGTGTATGTGTATGTTTGTATATATTAACCCATGTCACCCAAAACATCAGGCTTAATGGCAGGCGGTTTATGAACGTCCACGGGAAACCCACTGAAAACTTTTTTCTTTTCACAGTGGTTACCTCTTGAAGTGCTTAAGAAACAACTGATTAAATCAAGATAATCAAGCAATTAATTTGTCTGTTGTAGAAAATGTGTTACGCATGCAGGTTCATTTAGTTGCCTGAATGATATGTGCCATTCTGAGAGGCATAGTATTTAAAAATATGGCAATACTTTAAATTAAAAATCGTTCACATCTTTTTAGTTCAAATTAACTGTTAATTAAATGAAATGCAATATTCGAAAATTCCTGTCTGTAAAATATAATTATTAAGGCGTCGAAGAAGGTACCTAAAACTAATTGGCAGTGAGCAGCCGGCGAAAGACGTTTGCCGCGATGACTACCTATGTGACGTCACAGCGTCGGTCTAGAGGCCTATGAAATATGTGACATAAGTTGAACCAATGCCCTCATATATATATATATATATATATATATATATATATATATATATATATATATATATATATATATATATATAGTACGGAGTTGCTCTACAGCTGTCGCCGTTTCTCCGCTCTCAGTCTCCATGCCTCTCTATTGGACCATAGATCATCTGGCATTTCTCTTGCCGTCATAGCCTCTTGCACTTCCTGCTGCCATGCAAGTCTGGGTCTTCCTCTCTTCTGTCTTTCTGTTGGCACCCATTTCAGGACTCGTTTTGGCCATCTTTTGTCTGTCATTCGCATAACATGACCGTACCAGACGATTTGTTTTTTTTCTCTATTTCGTCAAGGATAGATTTCTTGACATCCATTTTCTTTCTTATGTCGTCGTTAATGATTCTGTCACGTCTGCTATAATATCAACTTCTACGCCAGTAGTCCATTTCAAGGGCCAGCAACTTCCCTTTTGTTCTTTTATCGATCTCCCAAACTTCTGAACCGTATGTTGTAACACTCTTAACTAGCGAGGAGTAAAGACGTCTTTTAGTAGTGTTAGTGATGGTTTTGTTCCATAAGACAGAGTTTATACTTTGTGTCACGTTTCTCCCCAAGATTATTCGTCTCTCAATTTCGTCATGGCTATTTCCCTTATTGTTAAAAAGTACACCAAGGTATTTATATTTGTTTACCCCTTTCATTTTTGCTCCATTTTCCACAAGATCTTCTATTTCATTTTTACCAACTGCCAGGTATTCAGATTTGTCCATATTAATATTAAGTCCTGCTTTTAAAAAGTGTTCATTGAGCTTACGGATCATGAAACTCAAATCGTCTGCATCTTCTGCAATTACTACCTGGTCATCAGCAATATATATCGTAAACAATTTATCCTCTCCGATCGTCATTCCCATTACTCTGCATTTTTTCCCCCACTGCTGTAAAATTTGATGCAGATATATTTTAAACAGTGTTGGGGAAAGACAACAACCCTGACGAAGACCTTTGCTGACTGGGAATGGTTGCGAGAGCCTGCTGTAGATCTTAATCTGAGAGGTGTTATTCTTAACGCCCTCAACAAAGACAATTCAAGATGACGTTGGTTGAATGCAGTTATATGGTAGCTAAAGTTTAGCTGCTAGCGTTTTTCAGACGCTATGACGTAAATCGATTTTTCGGGACCATGGCCCACAAAAAATGGATTCTGGATACACCATTTGTAAGAGGATATTTTTCTAAATTTAGCCAATGGATTTATCCACTACGTTGCCAGGGCTCGGCAATAAGAGTTTTCCTGCCGAAAATTCGCCATTTTCCCCGCTGCATTGCATAACTACTGCGTAAACGGTAGCGAGAAAGTAAAAAGGTTAATTGTATAGTATGAAAATAAATTATTTTGGATTTTATGTACCTGTTAAATGTAACCATGCACATTACTTCAAATGGTGTTAAAAAATTAAAATTCTCTTTTTTACTTGAGCATTATACACTTTTAAATACCTTATGTACCCAGATATGTAATTTAAATGTTTATTTGAAAAAATTCTTTGAGATCTTAACAAGGTCATAATCACTTTAAATAAATATGAACAGTGAAAAATTGTAAAACTCAAGGAGGAGAATAAAACATTTTACTCTCTGGCTACAAAAGATTTCTCATTGGAGAAGCCTTGCAACATACATTTTTTAATTTCCTGTGCTTTGAAAATTTGTCACTTCACAATGAGGCAAACAATTCTGCATGATAAAGTAAGTCACTAATAGACCTCTATCAACTACTTGACCCCTAATTTGAGACAAGAAATGAAGTCAATATTCATATTTCAGACAATTGCAAATACAATAGCTAGGGTTTAGTGTGTGAATATTAAAAGCTATCCCCATTTCAGGAAGTGCAATTCCATGACTCTTACTACATTGAATATGAATAAATTATTCAATTAACATGTGGTTGTAAAAGTTTTATTCATGTACATGTTTTGACATTGTGGACATTCCCAATTTCACCATTGCTGAGAAAAATTAATGACATAAAACTTAACAAGATTACTCAGACTTAAAACAATATCACTCAAGTTCAAAATATCTTCATATACACCCAATAGCCAGGCAATATTCTTTTTCTGAATAGCAGTCAAATTGTATAAGACTCAAGTGTAGTTCATGCTGTAATATGTCTTTTAAAACTTGCCAACTTGAACAAAGTTATAAGCACATGTGACTACAAATATTACAAAAAATATAATTATTTTTTCAAAACGAATTTGAATCCTGTTCTCACACATCTAAACAGTGACATAGGAATGCAACTGAGACTCGTCCTAACAAGCATCCCAATCGTGTTTGCATTGCACAAGGCACATGTTCCAACATTTCAAAACTACTATTTTTCATGCACATTTTTAAGATATTGTTTTTAAGAAATTATACAATCAACTTTCAGGGTGTTTTATTTTTGTCTGAAATTCTGTGAATGTTTAATATAAATTGTGGAAGCAAATTATGATTTTTATTTACAAATTAACACCAGTAAAATGAATACGAAGCAGGTTTGACCATTTCTCGATTAATAAACAAGTTTAGTTTGATCTTTTTTTGAAAGATTTGCTACAAATAGTGAAAATAAGAAATGAAACTGAACTCTTAGGATTAGACAAATATTTTTTTCATCTAACCTGGTATATTTGTTGTGGATAAAGAGAAAACTGCTCAACTGAAATTCGATTTTAGCATCAAGAATACTATTTTTTATACAGATAAATTAATGATTTCTACAACAGACAAATGCATAAAATGATAAAATACAGAAATTTACATCAGAATATTATATATTACTCCCAATGTCTGTAGTAAAAGACAAGAAAACTACGAATGTGAAAATCCACAGAGTATAAAAACATGGTTAAAAGTATAATCAAAGTAACACCTAAAATTTTTCCTTTCTTCTCACCGTCACAATCCATACTCCTAAAAATTTAAATAGATATTGAAAGTACTATTCATGAATTTTGTATGCCACATATGCAAGAAAAGAGCAATGAACATTTTCTCACACTGATCAATCTTTAGAAAAAGTTGTTAAGCATTTGATTCTTGCGATTTCATACATCAAATATGGACTTGAGCATTGCTTTTGTCTGACAAATACAATATTTACTTTAGACTAATATATCAAAAAAAGATACCAAGTTATAAAACGTAAATTCACTTGTAGAAAATACATTCTCAGAAAGATGGGAGAGGACTCAGAAGTAACAAATAGTCAGTCAGTTTTTTCAACAAAAATCATAATGCATTTAAAAAATTAGTTGCTACATAACAATATTTTATTTTACAATGACAAATGTAATCAAACTACAATGGGAAAATGCAACTGCAAGAACTCATCCAAACTGATGATTCTTTTATTCTTTTTTTAAACAAATATCACTTTCAATTTGACTTCACAAATATTTTTTTTCTTTAAGGAAAATAATTCTGAACATGAATTCAAGCTGGCAACACACACACACCTCATGAAGATTAAAATAAATAAACTATAGAACATTTAATGGCAGAATTTTGACAGTAATAATTTTTCTAGCTACACAAATCCTTTCTTTGGTGTGTATTTGTAAAACCAATGAAGAGGCCAGATTTTTAAACAATATGTTAACTGCTCAAGAAGCTTGTTCTTGCCCATTACTTTCTTGAGACTTCATTACATCTGGTAAGTCAGGCGGTGAAGAAAATGGAGTCAAATCCAAGGTTTCAAATTCTCCATTTTCTTGCCTAAAACATAACAAATTTATATTTAATGGAAAAAAATACATAAACTTATGAAATTGGCCACATCAATGCAAGAATTATGGATTTACAATAAAATTTTAAACACAAACAATGAGTCAATCATAATTTACATAATAAATGATTGAGGGAAAATGACAAACATCTAATTAAGACTCAACATACTTATAAGGTTGAAAATATTTTCCCCCACCCCCTTTCTTTTTCTTCAAAATTTCAGCCCTTGACGCTTCGATAGGAAGAGAAGAGAAAACTCGCTGGAGGAAACTTTCAAAACTAAAATGTTTGCAAGGAAACGATACCCAATTCCTCTTACCCATTATTCTGTCCAATCCAGTTTAGTAAACCATAATTATTTTGTTTTTATTTTTAATATATTTACTTATTCATACAAGATGTATGTACATACAGATTCAATATACATGTAAGCACAAACACACATTTTACATCCTGCTGAGACGTAGACTGCATGCAGAGTTCTTAACTATAATATTAACAATTAATCCAGATATTGCAATACCATATTATCAGATTCTACTAAACAAAACTTTAAAAAATTAAATTGGAAAATATATTAAACTACTGCACTACATTACATAACATTTACATTACATACACAACAATGCTGACAACAAATTAATGAACCATACTCCAATAAGCTTTCTCCACTTTGGGCTAGATTTAATTAGGGTAATTTCATGTAAATTCAATACTTTGTCAGTAACAAACAACTAACTTCTACCAAAAAAGTTCGTTTGTAATGATTTACAATTACAGCAATATTTTGTTAGAAATTAACTAATAAATATTTTTAAAGAAGAAAATTTATCCAGGGCAATCAGGTACAGCTTTGCATAATGTTCATCTACATTGCATAAAACTCGGCGCATTTAAAGGAAATATTGGAATTCCGGGGAATCAAAGATTTATAAAAGCATTAGACCTGTGTCACTTGTGCGTAGCGTTGACGGGAGTCATCTAACGCTGACGACGTCAGCAGCATCGACGCGCGTCAGCACACGAGTCATAATGCGCGTCGCATATTGAAAGCTAGAAAACGCAGGTTATCTTGACCTAACTTGTAGCTTGAGTTGTTGAAACAACGCACGTCGTCATGGGCGCTAGTGTGCCGTTTCGGAGAAAATAATATCAATATACGACCGCATTAAGAAACGAGTGTGCGCAGGTATCGACGCAGCTGTCATCAGTGTTAGGTGACGCGCGTCAGCGCAACGCTCGTGTAACAAGCGGCCTAGATTTTGTTGAGCTCACCTATTACTAGTAGTGGTAGGAGTACTGCCGGGTAAGTTATTGTTTTAGCAATACAAAAAAGTATGAAGTTTGTTTACCGATGCAAAAATTTATTATCCCATGAGGACTATCATACACGCTACGCGCAACAAAACTATTCTGTAAGACGACAATTCTTTGACCCGGTGAATAAGCTGATAAGTCATGAACACTTAATTTTACAGGAACAAAAGCAACAAAAACTACTTTTAACTGCTGCCGTAAATCAGCGATTAATTACAATTTTATACGAAACTTGCCCACAAATCGTTTCTTTTGAATATTATTAATCCCTAACATACTTCCGTCGAGAGTTGTAAATTAAGTACTCGTGACTTATCAGCTGATTCACCGGGATCAAAGAATTATTCGAAGTGATGGCAAAACTGATTAACCTTTTCCTTCCGAGTTATTTAAGCCCTGCATCGCCAACTGAACAGCTAAGTCAGGGCGATACAATCTCGAGTCATTCGACGTATGGGTTCCTTGGCGCTGGGGAACATGATTCTCGTGTCTACCGCTAGATCGCAGCGCTAAAGAAACTCAAAAAGTTTTTGGCCAAATTTCTGAAAATCTTCTAGATGGATCCCGAAACAAATAATCAGTTCCTATCAGGGGTACGTGACGCGTCGAATAAAACACTTCTCGATTGGCGGACAGGAACTGTTCTAAACGCGAGTGACGGGCGAACGCAGGCTCACTATATAACAAGGATGACCACTAAAGTTAATTTTGAGAATTCACGATGCTGTTTTAAGGTGAACCTCATTGTTAACAGATTAACGGTTTGTACATGAGAACTTTTTATAAAAAATGAAGAAACTATTTTTACTCTACACAATCATTTTGTTCCATTAGACAACTTAAGCAGTCTTTTTTCTAACACATACTATACGAGTAACTAGGGTCTTTTTGAACTCCAAGCTTTAATAATAACTACGAGCGTGATTCACGAATGTAAATAGTTAAAAAAGATATGTTAACGATCTACTTTATACACAGATAAATGAAATAATGATAGAAATTTTTGAAGAAAAAATGCTGACTGGCTCAGACACGAGTTTTCAGTTAATTATCAGTTTTATTTTTTACTTTCAACTTTGTTACATGAACGCCATGGGGCAGACTCAAGAGCTGTATGCAGGTCACGAGCCTTGTCGAGCCAACTGTTGCTATATAAGGAAATCTTTAGAAAATACTAGTTTTGGTCATTCTTCCCATCAAGACATCCTAATTCAAATGTCTAGTTATCTTTCCAGGAATTTCAATGGACACTGGGTCGAGATCAGATATCGTTTTGGCCTGTTTCCCAATCCTGTTCAGAACCAACTAGTTTTAATCAGCTTCCCTATTTAATGTATCCCGATCAGAACTGACTAATTTGGTTATTCCTTTAAGGAATCCAGATTAAATCCGATTTAGTGTATATGTAGACTCTGCAGTTTTCTTTAAGTTTATGAGCCATGCCACAACTTCTACTTATGAATTTGATTCAACTGGAATGCAAACTGAATTCACCTACTCAGAGAGTCGGTTTTTTACACATGGGTGCTGATAATCCAAAAGCCAATTCTGACATTTATATTTACTAATATTGCTGTATATTCTGCAATAATGAACTGGTTTGACTGGTTTATTATTTTTATGAGCTAATAATTGTGTTCATATGATTCACTTTCACATTTCACTTTTCTGGGATCTAATTTGTTTCTATGGTGGATTTCCATCTGCATTTCGCCGCCTGGATAAGTGTTTAGAACCAATCAAAATTCTTTTGAATGGTCTTCTTTTTGGTTTTCTCGTTGCGACATGTCTAAAAGAACATAGATTTCACTTGTCAGTTCTATGGGGTTTCATGCCGATGTGCGTAAAACTAATCAAATTTTCCCTACGCTACCCTCAATAACATTACTCCACCATGATGCATTGTGAACTGATTGAATTTCCTCAATGCTATCCTTTTATGTCCTGTCAAACTGACATTGGAGTGTTGTGATATTTCCTGTTCAAGAATTCCCTAAAATTTCCTTACAAGAGCTAACTTCAAACAAGGTATTCCCGACCAAAATTCCACTATGTCTGTAAACAAACCATACTTGACTATGCAAACATATCCTGTCAAAACTTTAGAGCAGTGTTGTCCAAAGAGAGTGAAATTCCTTCACACCGTTTTCACACAAATAAATTGCTCTGCTAGCTCTAGACCAGTTTCCACACAGGAGATAACTAATTTCACAAGAATGCTGTGAAATGGACAAAGCAAACCATTTACATCATACAAAAAAATTTAATAAAATTTTCAATTGTTCCCTTAAAAACAAGTTAATTCTCCTATGACATTAAGTAATATTAGATTTCTCTGAAACAATCTGGCATTGTGTCTATTTGCAGGAAGAAAATTAATCAAGTTATCTCCACTTTTCTGCTTCTTATTCTATTTAAGTCCAAAATCGTTAGAGGTGATACTTAACACAGGTCAACAAAATGTGCCTGGGCACTGGCTGGACAGGCCAAGACTATGACAGGTGACCAATTAAAAGCTATTTTGCAAAATATGTAGAATAATTAGCAATTTGCAGAAACATAATGCTTAATAATGAAATGGGTAAAATAAGCATCATCAAATCATATTTAAAAGTTGGAAATTGGGTGTTTCATGCACATACAAGTGTCACTACAGGATAAAAATATGATTTTGCATTGAAACCCTACACCTAGTCATTAAGAGGAAAGCAAGTTCAGAAAGACATTCCTTGTTAGATTCAAATCAGTGTTTACTCTCTTCGTTTAATTGTTAACTTTACTTTCCACTTTGAAGAATTCTCTTCAAAAAATGCCAGTCCCTTTGCTTGATTTCTCTGTCAGGATAGATCTTTTAATATTTAGTAGCTAGAGAACATTTTTATCAATCTATAGATATAGGAATTTGCCTGTTTTCAGATGAAGTAACAAATTTCCAAATTTATTTGCCACTGTAACAAGATCTTTCTTCTAAGTCTTCTTGTGCAGTATAAGGATTAGCAACGAGTTTTGTATCATTAGCACAACAATTCCAAATTTGAGGATAACTTAGATTTAGATTTATTGAGTCAAAAAAAACAGTAAAAACTGTATATGACGTAGGGGGCAAAGATTATCTGTGCATGTTTTTTGAGTTTCAGAATCCCTTCCTGTCATTTTAACTATAAATAGTTGAAAGATGAGTAAACGTTTAACGTAAATAAAAATAAATTTTAAAAATCGCAATATTGGCAATATTTGAAAAATAGTCATTTTTGTTTCCGAGTTATAGAAAACTTATTTGCATCGGTACACAAATTGCCAGTATGATTTTTCTGCATTGCTAACAAAATAGCAACTCGCTCTTACTTCTACTCTTACCATTACAAGCAAAAGGAGAGTTCAACAAAACATGCGCATAGTGAAGCTACATTTACATCCAGAAGCAAAACAAGGGGCCATCTCAGCAGTTACTCAATGGATCAGGGAAACTGGACAAAAATCTGATCGAGATGGGGGTCATTGACCTGGAATCTGAAGTACATTATTTGTTACAAACATATTAAGTTTTTTAAAAAAAATTATACAATACAAATGTAAACTAATTCATTATATATCACTCTTTTGTTAAAATAAACATTGTTTTTCTTTTTGATAATCAATATAGTCTCTAATTGTATTGAAACAGTTGTGCAGCAGAAAAGATTTTACTTTTAACATAAATTTGTGAACTGACTTCAATTGTTTAATGTCATCTGGCAGTGTTTTGTAAAGTAACGTACGTGTATTGCATGTGGATTTCCGATAGTGAGCTGTTGATACTGACACTTTAAGACCGTGATTTTTACGATGTGTGTAATTATAAATATCGGTATTGCATGAAAATATGTTCCCACCATTAAGTCAGTAAGTTTTGACAAATATTACAGATTCGTAAACAATAGGCAAGGCAGTGGTAAGATTGTAAATCCAAAGAAGAGAGGCTTGCAGGGATCACATGTTTGGCATTTTACATTATTCGAATAATTTTCTTTTGCAATCTAAAGGTCTGAGCTCTACATGATGAATTTCCCCAGAATATTATGCCATATCTCAGGCAGGAATGTACATTTGCAAAATATAATCAGCATGAAGCATGCCAGAATTTGAAAGAATTCTGAATGCGAAACATCATGAACTTAATTTAATTTTGTTATATGTACATTCCATTTGAGGTTTCTCTGAATTGAGAGACCTAGAAATTTTGTTACCTGAACATCAGCTAATTGCATATTATTCATTTTCATTGGAGCATGCAATTGCTAATTTGAAATGCAAAAATGCATTGAAACTTTTTCCTTCATTAACTATTAATTTGTCATTTCAAAACTAATTTGAAAGTTCTAAAATCATACTATTTATTGTTTCTTTTTTGGAAGGAACATTCTTGTCATCGAGAAACATAATCCTCTCTTACGTTTTTTAATAGACGATGGCATATCGTTTACGTATAACAGAAAGCGGATAGGACCTAAGATCGAGCCTTGTGGAACCCCATATTCAATTGGTAAAGAATTGAAAGATCAGTAAATAATGTCCTTTCGTGTCAGTATGGTATTTCTACTCTTTGAGATCGATGTTTAAGGTACGAGGTTATCCAATCTAGGGCGATACCACAAATTCCATAAGAAGGTAATTTTGTTAGCAAGTTGTTATGGTCAATAATGTCAAAAGCTTTTGAAAGATTTAAAAATATTCCAATGGCAGTTTCTGCAGATTTTAATTTTCTAAACCTGTGTTGCGAGACGAAAACGCTTAGTTTTTCCTGAGAAAAGTTTCTATTCGCGTATAGAAAAGCCTCTCTAAGATTTTAGAGAAACCTGACAAAAGAGGCATTTGTCAGTAATTTTGAATTTCATATTTGGTTCCTGTTTTAAAAAGTGGCTTCATTTTTGCTTTTAAAAAATATCTGGAAATATTCCTGCGCATAAGCATTGAGTGTGAGTTAACGGGTGTATAAAGGCAGGTAACAAGTTTAAATAAACAATCCAAAAAGTCATCTAAACCAGATGAATTTATATTTTTTAGTATACTGACTTCATAAGATTTCATTAGAAGTAGTTTCGGATATAAAAATCTTGTCAAAATTTTTTTGAGAAGGTAACTGTTGAATTTGACGGTTTTAGTTCCTTTGTGAGTCGAGCCGCAATTCTAGAAAAGTGTTGGTTGAAGAGATTTGCCACTTTTTCCGGACTACTGGCTTCTCTTTCATTATCTTTTAAAACAACATTCTCTACTAAGTAACGACATGATGTGGTCGTATTTTTTACGATATTCGACATTGCTTTGGTTTTTTAAACTATTGTTTAAAATATCATGATTATTTTTTATAATTTTTGCCTGAACTATTACCTTTCTTAAAATAAAGTAAAGAGTATGTTTGTTTTTACATGATGTTCTTATACTTTGTGTGATCCAAGTATTCTCTTTTTGTGAAATAAGTTTTTATCTTTTCAGAGGAAAGCATGCGTTAAATTGAAATGAAAGTTTTGAACAAAAATAGATTATATTTTTTAAGTGTCAACAGGGTTATAAACTGTGTCTCATGATTCCTTTAGCAATTAGTCTGTAAATAATTTTAAGTTAACTTTAGTGAATGCGCTGCACATGCGTGTATAATTTGTGTCAGTGTTAATTGATTTGAGGTAACTGGTTTGCAAATAGTAATGGCACTATGACACATCCTTGTAGTCTGCTTGAAATGAATAAGTGAAATAATACTCTCGAGTCCAGGCCAAGGAGTGTAGCTTAAACATCTTGTCTTAATCCAAATAAGCTATGTCCATAATTTTTAGGTTTTAAATGGGAATTCTCAATGGTTTTAATCACCATAAGAACTAGTAGCCTTTTATAAAGAAAATATGCATTAATTTTTTGAAGGATTCCTGTGTGTGCAAAAAAGAGTGTGAGCACATGCAAACATGGTCATGAGGGGGGGGAGGCAGTAGATCTAGGACAGAAAAATGTGAATTATTAATTGCCTCATTCCATCAATGCCATCAATGCCTCATTCATCTTACCTAAGAGCTAAACCCACAGCAGCTGGACATTGTGCCTTTGCAGTGCTGGAAGTTAGACCATATTCTTGTAATGTTTTCTCATCTTCCATTACATTATTATCTTTATTGAAAAGTTGCTGGTTATTTGGAGGAACTTTCAAGATACCTGCAAACAAACTCCAGAAATAAATTTCCCACAAGTAAAAAATGTAATAATTCAAGAAAAAATACAAGATAAGGGACTAAGCTTTGACAATGTGTGATTAATATAAGGATACAACTGACATCATAACAAAAGGAAAAATTTTCCATTTAATTTTAAGAAAATTCAGTGATATAAAGCACACTATTTTAGCTTTGAATCATGTTTTTACTAAAAGGCATTTTAGTTTGATTCAGTATAACGAAAATAAAGTAATACAATAAGTATATAATTGAAATATTTGGCCAAATAACAATACCCGTAACGTCTTATGAATTTTACAGGACAAGCAGGAACACTACATGTTACTTCATCTTATGAGTTTTACTACTAGACAAATAATAAAGATCAGGGGTGTCCAACTTGCAAGGCCTGAAGGGCCACAACTAAAACTTTTCATATGGTTGTAGGCCACATTTACATTATTCGGGTGATCTACATCAGACTTCCCCATACTGTTGTTCTCAGCATTTTGCCAGTCTGCTCAGAAACAGAGGTGGCGTGTAACCATGCGTGATATCAGACCGTAACAGCATAATGCATTTTAACACATTGGGACAATTATGAACTTCTGTATTTACTAGAGATAATTCTTAAATCTAAACGTAACCTATTATTACATTAAAGGCATTGACCCCTACACACGCATCATGTGCAATTTTCTCGCTCCACGTGGATGCAAGGGATTACTTTTGACAAATATCCTTTTGCGAGCCACCAGTTGGACAACCTTGATAGAGATCATTATTCCATGAACAGGTTTTGTTACAATACTGTGCATATTGTTAGATTTACTTACATATCAAGCAAGGGAGCATTATGAATAAGGATTAATATACTATAATATAATAGCTAAAGAATGCTCTACACCATCAAAACTCAGCAGTTAAACCATGAAAATCACTGCTCTAATGACTCCCAGAATTCATCCTACTGCCTATCCACGTACCAAGGCTCCCAAGGATCATCTACAACATATCCTTTTTCTAATTTTTTGAGGGTTTGGGGGCTCATTAATGAGTGGTAATTTTTATACGTGGTTACAGTTATTTTGATAAACCTTTAATGTTCCCCAAAGTTTCATATCATTTTTGCGGGAGTAGAAATATTGCAGGGATCTTCAAAATATTTCAATCATAAATATTTTGTAACCTTTAATTTTGAACTGTTTCTATTTTTTGCAAAAACGATGTAATGATTGTTAAGCGCTTGGAAAGAAGACTTAAAGCTTCCACAAAGACATCAATGAGCATTATAGATGACTACTGACCTCGACCATTATTCACATTGACAAAAGTTATTGTTTCATGCAAATTGATCTAAGCAAGCCTCTGGATTTAAAATTGATTTTTAAAAACAAAACTTCCATGAGCTACACAAGACTACATAGACCATATTCAATGGAGAAATATTCTGTTATTCAGTTCAATTACAAAGATAAACCTGTAGGAACTTTTAACTTATACTATGAAGCAAACAACATGGGACACCTCACCTTCTATTATTTTCTTTAGTTCACGGACAGAAGTTGTGTCTTTGGCATCAGTGAATATTGTAAGTTTCTTCCTTCTTATCATTAAAAATACATCCTTAAAATAAAATTGAGGATATACATTACACACAAAGAATAGAAATATTAAACTAACATTATATACATACACATAAAAAAAATTAAAATTATTAGAAGAAACAATGTGAAATAAAATCTGAAATATTTAACTTTACTTAAAATTATTTGTTCATTTTTGTGGTTATGGTATTTAAAAGCCAAGTAATATAAACATTATATTTGTATTTGGTATAAGCTTGACTACTGTACCGTTTACACTACTAACATTTTACAAATAAATGAATAACTTTTAAATTGTACACCAAAATCATATATTAAATATGCATGTATTCCAATTAATCATTACCCTTGAACAGGGTCAAGTCATTTAGTAAATAAACAGTAAGTAGTTTAGAAAAGGCAATGTTTTGCAATTCAAACTAAACAAATTGAAGTCTATGGTAATTCATTTGTACATATTTCTTACCAATTTGATTACTGATCAAAAAAAGTAGGAATTCAACTAAACATCCTTAATACATTAACAGAAACAACTAAAAGGTTCAGATTAACATACGACTACTTTTTCAGAATTTAAATTCATACGTTCACTACTCAACTTTAAAAATAATGGCAAAAATTAAAAGTTAAATAATATGTAACATTAATCCCATATTATGACACAGAGGAGAAAACTAGTTTTCATATATAGTGAACTGAAGAAATAGGAATGCGATTGTTCTTGCTAGTTAGATACTGTCATCTACGAGATGCAAGATTGATGACACTACCTTCTTTCTGCACCCACCCACGAATAAATACATGGTGGAAAGTCCGTGCATCAAGGTTAACGAAAAATAATATAGCTAAGTGCAACAGATCCTTCAACCTTGCAGATTTAAGAGGTAATGATCCACTCAAACTTTTGATCCATATTTCACTTGTCAGCATGGACCTTGATCTTTGAGCCATTACCTCACAATTTCTCAACTTATTAACTACAGAACTATGGTATTTTTTAGCCGAAATTAATAATGCTTATAATCTCTCTCTACTGAGCTGCAGAATGGCATCACAAACTAGTTTTCAAATTGATCATTATTGTTTTTAATAATCATCCTTCACACGGTCTTAAAAATCTGGACTGTCAGCAGAAAAATGTCTATAATCATAATGCTTCAACAAATGTTCGGCACACACTTTTAAAACTTCAAATAGTGGTAACTATTTGAAGTTAAAACTACAAACATGACATGTGATATATAGAACTGTGGGATGTGATAATGTAATGAACGTTTTTCACATGATCAAATTAATTAAAAACTCGAACTATCACAACTAAGAAATTTTATGAATTTATTAAAAGTACAGATAGTAAACTAACTTTCTCATCGCTCAAAAAAAGAACGTTCTGATAGTGCAAGATTTGAACACCAGAAGGATAAATGGCAAATTGAATTTGCTGTTCGCAGTACTATATTTAAAAAACAATTACGCAAAACTTGAATGAATAATAAACGTACTTACCATTGTGCTCAGAAAACTCTCTTTGTGTTAGGCACGGGAGATAAAGGCTTAAGAAGAGCGAATGTTTACACGGGGACCATTAAAATTCCCACAGCTTGTACTTCAACAACTTGTAATGATAATTACAATCAGTGCGTACGTTCTAACGACTGCTGTGAGAAAGATGTCAGCAATCTATCATGAGTAGTGATCAAACGCACAACAGATCACGCATATTTTGGACCGGAGTTTTGCAATGTCAATTCACAGGGAATAGTGTAACCAGTGAAACCAAACCTATTACTACACATAATACGACCGTGCGCGAGTAGCGGAAGAAATAGAAATTACATTCGACTGCTATGAAGCTTCGCGAAAGAAGATCCATGATACAAATCAAATATTTGTTCAATGCATTTCACTAATCAGAATTAAGAATGATACAATGAAAAACTTTACATTGTTTCTTCATGATGAGAAAAACTACAAATACTGTACGTTCAGTTTCCTCGCCAGGCTGTACCAGTTGTACATACCAATAATCGATATACATAATTAGGCGCACTTTTTAAACGACAGAAAACGTCCAATTTAATAATTATAGCTAAATGAAAATTGCTTCCAGAACCTGGCTGGTTGGTATTACTTTATCGTACAGGCTGTACATCGTAAGTTTTGAAAGTATTGCTGCGAAAATTGACTTCGAGATTTTGACGGAAATACACGTTTCGAGGATCCAGATATCAGAATAGTTATGATACGAGTGGTTAAAGTAACATTTTATTTTGGGAGTAGAAAATGTTGCGCCATGAGGCCGATTACCCGAGTGTTACAGTAAGGTCAGTAATAGCTGATGCGATCAGATGAAATGGTTTTGTTTCCTTTGTTGGATTCAGAGTTTCACATTCGTCTCACTTTTAGAACTAGTGCTAAAAATTAAACTTACAAAGGAATGTCAGTGTTTTTTTCCAAAACGTCTGTCCCTCCGAGAACAACACTAGCACGTAAACCAATCACAGAATGTTCACCAAACTTGATATATCCCGATGAATTTGGCTGATGTGGCTCCTTGAATTACAAATTGATATTTTTATATGGGGGATACTTCCCATTAAGCCTCAACATTTTCAAGATTTTCTAAAAACTGGTTCCAAATTTTTTCTTTATTTTTTCCTTGAAGATAGTAAATTGTGCTTATAAAAGCGGCAAAGATCTCAATTTCCAGCAGAAGTAAGTTTGGAAAGTTTTGAGTTGAAAGTATCTTAAAAATAACCCAAAAATTCTATTTTTTAGTGTATTACAGTGATACTCTAGTGGGAACTTTTTTCTCAAATGACTAGTGACTACTGTTACTACATGGATATTATTCAATAATTTCTCATCTTTGTTAAAAAGTTATTATTTAAAGATCAAAAATTGAGGGATTAATTGCATTAAGAAAAAAATGTCTTATTTTAATATTGGAGATGCAGGACAAGTTTGAAAATTAATTTGAACTTTGCAATATTTAAACTTTCATAGGTTTAATGAAAATAGAAACTAGACTGTTTTCATAAATTAACTTTCTATTTCAGTAAAAAAAATTACAGGCATTTCCAGATAATTTAGATAATGTCACAGGTGCTTCACGAAAAGTATCTTCAAAATTAAAACTATTTTTAATTTGTGAGAAGGTGCAACAAGGTCATCCTTCTGATGTGTTTACTGTGTATCAACTCAAAAGCTTTTAATCTGTCAGAGTTATGGGTGACATACTTCCAACCATCTGTCCAGACATCCTAATTTAGGGGTACAAAATTGTGTGTATCTCATCGCATTCTACAATAATCTTAACCTTCTGCACAGCACTAATACATCATAATTTTGAGGTGTGTGCGAAGTTACAGTTTAAAAGAATCTTGAACATGGATTTTACGACCAAAAATAAAGGGGATTCCTCCCTATACTGGGAAGGAAAAGTAGTAACTAGTGGAACCCGTATTATAATTGCTCACTTTGTAAACCATTGTGAAAATGCGTTTAGATACTATTTGGATATCTGATTATGTTTCACTGTATCGGGTGATGTAAGAGACGATAAAAAAAATAAATAGGTAAATGATGGGTAGAAAAATGGGGCCACAAGTTACCACTATTTAAAAAGAGTGGAATAGAATTGGACTTACACGCAAGTTTAAAATAAATAAATAAAAATAAATTATTAAAAAAATTGACATTTTCGTTTCCAAGTTATAGAAAACCTATTTATATCGGTAAACGATTTGCAAGTACGATTTTTTTGCATTATTAACAAAATAGTAACTCGGCCTTACCTCTACTCCTACCATTACATGCAAAAGGAGAGTTTAACAAAACTTGGGCATAATGAAGCTACATTTACGTCCAGAAGCAAAACAAGGGGCCATCCCAGCATTTGCTCAACGGATCAGGGAAACTGGACAAAAACCTGATCGAGATGGGCTGTAAGACTGTCAGGAAAGTCACTGTCATCTTTCAGAAGAATAAAATTGGGTCGTATCACTACCTTATACAACATAAATACATAGCGATAGCCAACATTTGTAAAGTGATTGACACTCATTTCTACAGTTATTCACTAAGCACGTACCCCCAAAATTTAGTTTGGCATCAATGATTGTCAGAAAAACCACTCATCTATACGAACATAAATTATATGAACCCCATACATTTGGGGACAGTTATGCAAATTTACGATGTTGATATGGGAGGCTCTGTTAGGACTGCCAACGTCACAAATTTTCGAGAGGCGCCGCAGCGCCACCGTCGTCAGAAATCAGTGTTCTGTGCTGAAGTGGTGATTGTGTTTTGTTTACATGTTGACAGTGGGGGCGTATAAAATAAAACGTGGCTATGCCCGTAACATCATTTTTTAATTTCTGTCATTTGTGTAAAAATAAAGCAATGTCCATTACTCGGTCTACATATTTTGACTTCACAGTTTATACGTTTTTGCTTATTTCAACAATTTTCATAAATAAGGTAACATAACCTTCTTTAATTCATTTTTATCTTTCTGTTGTATAAACAGACAGCACGATTATTTCAATAAATTATTTTATTACGTATTTTTATTAATGTCAGTGTGCATACAAATGTTAAACATTTGTAACAATGTAAGTGAAAAATGAATTTTTCAACTGATTTATTGATTTTCTTTATTTTTACAGTATGTACTGTCAGTGTTAAAGTTTACCTACCCCACTGTGTTTCAAGCATGGCAAACTCTAATTGGTGCAGTTATTTTAAAATACCTTACAGTGAAAAAGAAATTGGACGTTTCATGTTTGGATAGATCATCAGCCACACATCTACTTCCACACTGTGTTTTTTTTGTTGGTGCTATTGTGGCAGGTTCAAAGGCTCTTTCAAGACTAGTAAGTTATCTTTTACTAAAAGTTATTTAGAAATTGTTAAAAGTCAAGAGTATTTTATTTAAGTTTGGACTTCTGTGAAAAATGAGTTGCCTATGATAATATTTCACTTCCATTTTTTTGTTACTGAAAAGTAGTTATTTATAATTAAAATATGAGTTATAATAATATATGCACATTGTTCTCCAAAATCTATAGTTTTAACATACTTAGGAATTTTCTGTTTAGATATTTGTGATTTACTAAAATGAATGAATTTATGAAACAGTTCCTGAAGTTAAAAGGAACTATTACCTTAAGATCAGGAAGTTTTTGTTTTAACCCTTAACACAAAGGTAGTTTGTTTTGCAAAGGGAAACTTTTGAGACTTCAAACTTGATTGGGCAAATTTCTGATAACATTTCAGAAAATAATGATAAGATATACAGTAATTGAGGGGAACATTGATATGATTTTTTTTCATATGGCCATGAAGATAGAAAATATTTAAATAAATTAGTGCAGCTCAAAAACATTTAACTTGTGTATTTTTCAAAATATTACTCTCTCTTTTTCTGTTCCTTATTGAGATCTTCCAATCATTCATTATCTTGAAGTTTTCCCTGTATTATTTTATGAATACATTCAATTTTAAATGTAGATATGAAACAATTGGGAACGAAAGAAAAAGAAAAGTTAATGGTGATTAAAAATATTTGTCTAATGCATAAAAGAAAGTATGTTGTATATTACATATTTTTTATGTAATTTTTTAGCTAATCAGATATGTTGTTCCTGTCATGATTTTTTAAATTAACCTTTATAGAAAAGTGGTATTATAGCATGCTATTATTAAAGGAAAAAACATTTTTGGCGGAGTTTTAGAAGACATAATTCGTATTTTATGAAAATATAATTTGTCAACTTTCGAATAATTGTATTATACATACTCGTGCTTTTTATTGTGCCTAGAGTGGAACTTTCAGCATAATAAACTAATTATCCTTCAACAGCACGTATTTTCATGAATTAGTAATGGTTATGTAAAATAGTAATACTGCAATTTCTGTCCTAATTAACTCATCTCAGCCATCATTTGTAAAAGTCTCTACCAGAAAGAGAGTTTTTAAAAACATGTCCAATAGTTAATTGTATCACAATTTCAAAATACAGGTCAGATTTGTCAGGTCACCATAAGAGCCCATGTTAAAACAGCAAACTTTACGGTCTTGTTACGCGAAAACTATACGATAAAATCGATCCAAACTCATCCAGAACATAGAAGAACCTCTCATATTTCGATTTATATAATAAAAAAAGGCATGCTAAACATAACACTTATCTCGCTTAACCCATTTCTTCCCAACGTTGCGTGAACGCATCGCTAGGTTCATGATTTTTTTCCTACGGTACTATTTTAACATTGCATTTGTGAATTTGACTCGTAAATTCGTAAATAGATTTTTATTTTAATAAACAGTGTATTGGTACTGACTTATTTTTTTCTTCGGGTTGTGCAGCGTAATTTACTACATGAGGTTACTATTTTTTTTTCTTTTAAAATTAATGAACTGTGAAACTGTTTATGATGATACTGGGAAGTATAAGTTATATAAAGACAAGTTTAAAAGTTTGATTCTTGTGTGTGTGATTCTTGAAACGGATGTTGTAGGTAAATAAATATCGTGATGCGTTCATGCAATGTTGGGAGTTTTCCAGTAGACCGGAGATGCGCACGCGCCCTTGGTATCTGATACCCGCCAGTTCACAGAACCGTATAATTGGAAAGGGTATTTGACACAGTGATATCCTGCCGTGTTAGAAGTTTCTGTCACCGTAATTTTAAGATAAGCGTGTCCAATCTATTCGTAGACTCTTCTGGAAATTGAAAACAAAACGGATCGTCTACGAAAGCTTCTCTCTTTTGCTTTGAGGCAGTACTGCGCGTGCTTTCGGAGACGTGAAACATTCGCACATTTTTTCTATATTGTGATGAAGTGCGTGAGACTAAATCTTTTTTTGTGGATGTACAAGGGAACAACTGTATAAAGTTTTCACTGCGTAACAAGAAAAACAATCAAAAATTGCTCTTATAATAATATTATTTTCGTTTCATAAGAGATTATTATAAGTAAAGGAACATATGACTACGAGACCTGACTAAAAAGTATCCGCCCTTAATTTTTCCCGCGCAAAGTAGTGATTCTAAGGCGGCGCCACTGTGCACGGTGAAAGGAGGAACCTTAATGCGCATGCTTGAATTTTTTTCACTGCATTCGCTGGCTGGTGGTCGCTAAGTAAGGTGCTGTTCGTAGTATTCGTCGGATTTAGTTTTCTCGCAAGATGACTGAACGAATTGAGCAAAGATACTGCATCAAATTCTGTCAAAGGCTTGGTGATTCTCGAAGCCAAACAATTCGTAAGATTCAGCAGGTGTTTGGAGAAGATGCGATGGGTGTAACACAAATTAAGCAGTGGTTCAACCGATTCAAAGATGGCCGCACATCAGCCGAGAGTGAGCAGCGTGGTGGCAGGCCCCAAACTGCTCGGAATGCAGCTGTTGTTGAGAGGGTGCGAAATTTGGTGATGGCAGATCGCCGTTTCACAGTGCGGGAGATTGCAGAAGAGGTTGGAGTGAGTAAAGATTCTGCACATGCAATTTTGCGTGAAGATTTGAACATGAAACGAGTGGCTGCTAAATTCGTACCGAAGTTGTCTCCGGAACAAAAAGGACACGACCTTCTGGACACCGCCAACAATGATCCTGGGTTTCTGAACACCGTGATAACTGGAGATGAGTCATGGGTGTACGGGTTCGACCCAGAAACACAAAAAACAGTCGTCTCAATGGAAGCATCCCGATTCTCCAAGGCCGAATAAAGCGCGGCAGGTGCGAAGCAAAATCAAGGCGATGATGACTGTTTTCTTCGATGCCTGTAAAATTGTACATCACGAATACGCACTGGAAGGACAAACAGTGACAAAGGCGTACTATCTAGATGTTCTCCGGCGACTCCGTGACGCAGTTCGGCGCAAAAGACCAAACATGTGGACGGCGAAGAACTGGCACTTGCATCATGACAACGCCCCTGCACATTCATCTCAATTGATCCACACTTTCTTAGCCAAACATGGAATTACAACCGTTTGCCAACCTCTCTACTCTCCAGACCTGGTTCCTTGCGACTTCTGGTTGTTTCCAAAATTGAAGACGCCACTGAAATGATCCCGGTTTGAGAGTAGAGAAGAAATAATGCGGAACGCGACGACGGAGCTTAACACCATTCCAAAAAAGACTTCCAGAGGTGTTTCCAGTAGTGGAAGGATCGGTGGGCTGTGTGGAAGCACAATGGGCCTACTTTGAAGGGGATTAGGGTCCCAAATCTGTCAGGTATTCGAAATATTTTTTCTGGCCAAAGGTCGGATACTTTTTAGACAGGCCTCGTACATGATGGACAAAGAAAACGAGATTTTCTTAGTTAGATGGCACGGTGGCAACAAATGACGGTACTTTGGAACCTCTTGTGAACACGAAACGGTATAACCGCAAGGAAAAAAATAATATGAAATGCTTCATCAGCCCAATAGCATATTTCAGCACAATCAGGGAATGGGCGGTGTAGATTTGCATGACAATGCTATTGCAAATTACAGGGTACGAATAAGGGGCAAAAATGGTGGTGGCCCCTTTTTACAAATGGTATAGATAGTGCTATTGTAAATGCCTGGAAACTGTACACCTTAGCAACTGGAGCAAAGACAAGTCAAATTGATTTCAGATCAGAAATTGTACTCACCCTTCTCCGAAGGGAAGAAGTAAATGAAGAATTTCAATCTGGGACGTTGTAGCAAGAGAAGTTTGCCCGAAGCTATAAAGAAAGACCTTGTTGGTCACGTAATAATTCCTGAGGTATCTAATGCGCGTCGCAGATGTAAAATTTGCAAAAGTCAAATTATTTATAAATGTAAAAAGTGTTAAGTTCATTTGCACAATGAATATTTCTCATTATATCGTGAATAAAATTATTTTCAATATATGCTAGGGTTTTTATTGTGTATTACATTGAAAAAATAGAATATTTTTTAGAATGTTGATCTGACTCATTCTTACCGGAAAACTCCCAATGTTGCGTGAACGCAACATTCCATTCCGGCAAAACGAAAAATCACAAAAATATTTGGAGCGTTTAAACTCTCTGGGGATGATTTTTTAATATTACAGTCAGAAGTTTCAAAAAAGTAGGTATTTCAATGCTTGGGAAGAAATGGGTTAAACCACCTTTAGCGTAACACCCAACACATTCGACAATCAACATTTCCGTTCCTTTCACCCAGAAACACCGTTCAACAATGAAAAGTTATTTTGAGAATTTCAAACTGTGGGGTCACGGCGTTTACGTTGTATTGTTCGTGGTAACTTCTGAAAGATTGTAACAAAGAAGTGCGAGAAATTCGAATATGCATTATCGATCATTGCAAAAAATACGCGAACTACTCTTATTTTCAAAAACATGTACACTCTTGGATGTTTCCAAGAGTGTACATAGTTTTGAAAATATAAGTAGTTCGCGTTAATGTTTTAAGTTTCGCGTCCAAAATTGCTTTGGCCAGAGAGGATGATGGCGCTGGACATTCCTGCTTGCCAACAGCACTATCGAACGTTTATTTTCGAAACTACGTTCTGTAGATCGAACTATGAAGTTTCAATTTATTTTATTGGAGAGCATATAAAATACTGTAACGTCTATTGAGAGCTAAATAGTAGTAGTACATAGGAAAAAGGCTTTCGCGATTCTTGCCAGTGAAACTGAATTGACATTAATTTTTGTAAACGTAATGTCGTAAAGTTTCGTTATTATCCGCAAACGTTTCCTTGAGCCCTCGCTTCGCTAATTGCGAGAAGTGTGGGGAGTTTGGTTATTTTGAGAAAATGAATTTTACGTCGAGTTTGTTGTTTATTTTTCCATGCAAAATACTTTTTTAATACACAGGGGCGAACATTCCTCGTCACCAGGTTTTTCGAC